GTGCATGTATAAATGTTTGTGTGTGTGTATGTGTGTGTGTGTGTGTGTGTGTGTGTGTGTGTGTGTGCGTGTGTGTGTGTGTGTATGTATGTTCGTGCGTGCGCGATCGCGCGCGTGTGCGTAAATTATTGTGGGCTTACGATCGTGCTAGTATGTGATGGCTATGGGCCAATCATCCCCCCCCCCACTCCTCGGTACGGATTTACGCCCCTGATTCGCACACTTCACGTGCTCATACATTACCGCCCCCCCCCCCCCAAGATAAAATCCTGGCTACGCGCCTGACCTCGGGTACATAATATCAGGAGTAGATAATAGAATACTTTTATATTCTATAAGACTCTTCTATTATCTACTCCTGATAATATGTAGTACGACAACGACCCTTCGTGCGGCAGTAGACCCCTAGAAAAAAGTAGATTTAATCTGGCGACGGGAGTGGGTTAGCGCTTGCGCAATATCTCCCCTGAAAATTTATATTTTGTCATGTCTATGCATTTAATAAATTTACGGGGTATCCCAGCATAGATTTATGTAATAAATTATTATCAGGAGACCCGTGTATATGAATATGAGAGCACCCTAGCCTGTAGAGCTCAAACCTCCCACTTCACCCGCGCCCGTCCTTCCCCCTGCCTCCATTGTCCCTCTATCAGGCTGCTCAGTCTTCTACCACCCTCACTTATCTTCCCTGCCGTCTTTCCTTCGTTTCCCAACCCTCTCTCTTTCAGCCAGATATATTATGCAGTTTTCTTCAGTTCGTACTATACGTCTGATATGGTACTCGCGCATGCGCAATATCTCCCGAGAAGAATATTATTTTTGCGAAAAATATGCATTTAAAAATAGAGAGGAGGTATTCTAGCATAGATTTATATGATAACATTCTATCAGTAAGCCTCTCTTAAGAAATCGGAAGAAGATCTTACATGTAAGGTACCCGCTGCATATACCATTCAGTACACAATCTGGCTACGGGAATGGGTTAGCGCATGCGCAATATCTCACAAGAGGAGTTATATTTTGTTACGAATATGCATTTAATATGGTTACGGGGTATCCCAGCATAGATTTCTGTAATAAATTATTATCAGTATACCTGTGTTTATGAATAGGACAGCGCCCTAGCCTGTAGAGCTCAAACCTCCTACTTCACCCGCTCCCGTCCTTCCCCCTGCCTCCATTGTCCCTCTGTCAAGCTGCTCAGTCTTCTACCACCCTCACCTATCTTCCCTGCTGTCTTTCCTCAGTTTCCCATTCCTCTCTCTTTCAGCCAGCTATATTATGCAGTTTTCTTCAGTCCGTACTATACGCCTGATGTGGTGCTCGCGGATGCGCAATATATCTCCCGAGAAGAAGAATATTTTACGAAATATAATATGCTTTTAAAATAGAGAGGAAGTATTCTAGCAAAGATTTACATGATAACATTTAATCAGTAGATCTCTCTTAGGAAATAAGAAGAAGATTTTGCATGTACGGTACCCGCTGCATATACCAGCCAGCACACAATCTGGCTACGGGAGTGTGTTAACGCATGGGCAATATCTCACAAGAGGAGTTATATTTTGTTACGAATATGCATTTAATATGGTTACGGGGTATCCCAGCATAGATTTCTGTAATAAATTATTATCAGTAAACCTGTGTTTATGAATATGAGAGCGCCCTATAGACTGTAGAGCGCAAAACTCCCACTTTACCCGCTCCCGTCCTTCCCCCGGCGTCCCTGGTCTCTCTTTTTGCTTCCACACGTGCTGTCAGCCTGCCCGGCTCTACTTTGAACGTATAAGAACGGCCGAAGAATATTATCTTGGCAGTCAACGGCGACCGCCGTTGCAGAGCCATTTGCTCATACAATAGCATAGCTGGGAATCGTGGCGCGATGCTGCAAGCGAAGTGAAGGATTTAAGTCAGCTTTTACCATGCACACGTGCTGTCAGTTTGCCCGGCTCCACTTTGAACGTATAAGAACGGCCGAAGAATATTATCTTGGCAGTCAACGGCGACCGACGTTGCAGCGTTATTTACCCATACATTAGTATAGCTGGGAATCGTGGCGCGATGCTGCAAGCGAAGTGAAGCATGTAGATCCGATTTTACCACGCACATGTGCTGTTAGCCTGCCCGGCTCGACGTTGAACGTATAAGAACGACCAAAGACTATTATCTTAGTAGTCAACGGCGACCGACGTTGCAGCGACATTTGCTCATACATTAGCATAGCTGAGATTCGGGGCGCGATGCTGTGAGCGAAGTGAAGCATGTAGATGAGATTTTACCACGCACACGTGCTGTCAGCCTGCCCGGCTCCACTTTGAACGTATAAGAACGGCCGAAGAATATTATCTTGGCAGTCAACGGTGACCGACGTTGCAGCGCCATGTAACCATACATTAGCATATTTGGGAATCGTGGCGCGATAATGCGAGCGAAGTGAAGCATGTAGATCAGATTTACCATGCACACGTGCTGTTTGCCTGCCCGGCTCCACTTTGAACGTAGAAGAACGGCCGAAGAATATTATCTCGGCAGTCAACGGCCACCGACGTTGCAGCGCTATTTGCCCATACATTAGCATAGCTGGGAATCGTGGCGCGATTCTGCGAGCGAAGTGAAGGATGTAAATCAGATTTTACCATGAACACGTGCTGTCAGCCTGCCCGGCTCCACTTTGAACGTATATGAATGGCCGAAGAATATTATCTTAGCAGTCAACGACGACCGACGTTGCAACGCCATTTGCCCATACAATAGCATAGCTGGGAATCGTGGCGCGATGCTGCGAGCGAAGTGAAGGATTTAGATCAGCTTTTACCATGCACACGTGCTGTCAGCCTGCCCGGCTCCACTTTGAACGTATAAGAACGGCCGAATAATATTATCTTGGCAGTCAACGGCGACCGACGTTGCAGCGCCATTTGCCCATACATTAGCATAGCTGGGAATCGTGGAGCGATGCTGGGAGCGAAGTGAAGCATGTAGATTAGATTTTACCATACATGTGTATATGATTAGGAGAGCGCTCTAGTCTGTAGAGCGAAAAACCCCTACCTCGTCCGCTCCCGTCCTTCCCACGGCCTCCCTTGTCCCTCTCTATGCCTCCTCCGTCTTCTACCGCTCTCAGCTATCTTCCCAACCTTTCCTCAGTTTCCCATCCCTCTCTCTTTCAGCCAGCTATATTATGCAGTTTTCTGCAGTCGGTACTATACGCCTGATGTGGTGCTCGCGCATGCGCAATATCTCCCGAGACGATTAATATTTTTTGTGAAAAATATGCATTTAAAATAGAGAGGAGGTATTCTAGCATAGATTTATATGATAACATTCCATAAGTAAGCCTCTCTTAAGAAATAGAAAGAAGATCTTGCATGTATGGTACCTGCTGAACATACCAGCCAGTACACAATCTGGCTACGGGAGCGCATGCACAATATCTCACCAGAGGAGTTTTATTTTGTCATGAATATGCATTTAATATGGTTACGGGGTATCCCGGCATAGATTTATGTAATAAATTATTATCAGTAGACCTATATTTATGAAGAGGAGAGCGCCCTAGCCTGTAGAGTGGAAAACTCCTACTTCGCCCGCGCCCGTCCTTCCCGCTATCGCTCTTGTCCCTCTCTCAGCCTCTTCCCTTCTGCCTTTCCTCAGTTTCCCACCCTTCTCTTTTGCAGCCAGCTATATCATGCAGTTTTCATCAGTCCGTTCTATACGCCTGATATGGTGCTCGCGCATGCGCAATATCTTCCGAGAAGAATAATATTTTGCGAAAAATATGCATTTACAAGAGAGAGGTATTCTAGCATAGATTTATATGATAACATTCCATCAGCAGACCTCTCTTAAGAAATAGGAAGAAGACGTTGCATGTAAAGTACTCGCTGAATATACCAGCCATACACATTCCAACACATGGTCATACCTTTCCCGAACACACCATGTGCTTTGCCCCTTCCCCAGGAGAAATGGGTTAGTTACGCTTCTCTCTCTATATATATAGTCATGTTACACATAATCAGACCACGAGGTCAGTGAGAGGATTAATTTGTTCAACGTCGTATTTTTTATGTACTAAATTTTTTTCACAAACAATTGACAGAGCAGCGCAAAGGAAAGAAAAACATGAAAACACTGAAATTGTAGCACTTGTAACATTGTGATGATGTAATTGTGATATATATATATATATACATATAGGCCTATATATATTTAATATTATATGCATATATATATATATATATACATATTGAACGAACACGAATAACGTGCTGCGAATTCGTATTTTGATATTCGCTTTAAAATTATTTTTCATTTAATTTTTCTTGCGTTTGGTTTTCAGAAATAAAAAACATTCCTCACGCCAAGCTGTCTAATAATCCGGTATAATCTGTATAATCCGGGTGACCCGGATGGCTATTCACGGATTATAGAACCAGGGCAGAAACGATGAAGATCGAGTTAGAACGAATTAAAACAGTCTGAATTAAGGAAGAGGAAGAAAATGCGCTAGACGGATCCTAGTGGCGATTTGACTGCGTACGTATCCGTCAACATAATAATAACAGATATATGCATAGATATTTAAAATATATTGAAATTATTCTTCAGTAAAAAACATTCCAGATAAACATTACAAGTAGATGCACGAATAGATAACATAACGCCATATATTTATATATGGGAAATTGGGCCTCGGACGTTGGTCGCCGTTGACTGCTAAGATAATTTCTTAAATATCGGCCGTTTTTAAACGGTCAAAGTGGAGGCGGGCGGGCTGCCAGCACGTGTTCATGATAAAATCCGATCTATAATATTAACTTTTCTCGTAGCATCA